TGAGCCCCCATGCCCAGTCAGCTCTTCCCTCCACTGCACAGACCGCCATCAAGATGCTGCAAGTCTTTGCCAGCAAGGATGGCAGTACTGGCTATCACGTGGACATCAGTGCTTGGAGAGCTGTCCTCATCCAGTGCAGGACACACACCTGTCAGCTGCTGGCTGGCTCTTGCTGCACGGCACTGGATGTGACACTTGGGAGCAGGGTCATTTTCTCTGAAGCCAATTTACTCAAATTCTTTTTGAGGTCCTTTTTTTTCCCATCTTGAAGGGGAAACTGTCCAGCATTGCTGTTGTGGGAGAAGTTATTCTGCAAGAACTTCTAAATAGCTGCCCATGGGGACAAAGTATGCTGAAAAAACAGTCATTTCGTTCTGGTATGATCATGCCCATTCATGAGCCCACCTCTTTCCCCTCTCTTCAATCCACTGCAAATTAGTTTGCTCACTTCAGCTGCAAGCTCATTGCAGGCAAGGATGAGAGGACCACGGCTTGGCCTGTGACGGGACAGCTGCCCAGCTGTCCTCACTGCTTCAAACAAGCAGCAGAGCATGCAACGCTAGCGTGTAGCCTGCTCTTGGGAAGGGGATGTGACTCCGCAGCCTTCTCAGGGGAAATAAAGTAACAATCCTGGTGAAAGCACAGCAAAGACTTCCAGTGGCTGTAACTAACATTAAACCACTTGTAAAGGGCTTCTTGCTCTCAACTTCTCTGCCTCTCCCACTCTCCAGGAATCTCAGAAAGGGCATAACTGGAATCCCCATCTGGGGAAGGGGAGGATAAAGAACACATAAACACCCAGCCTGGGATTTCCTACAGCTATTGCTCGTACCACACAGACAAGAGCCACGTGCAGCAGCTCCAAAAGTAACTCACAGGAAGGGAAAGGCGTGAGATTGTTTGTGTGAAATATACACACCAGGCCTCTGTTTCCCTGAATGCAGAAGCACGGCCCGGGGTTTTGCCAGCAGCCTGCTGCCACCCAGCCTGCTCTCTTACGCTAGCAGGTATTCGTCTGCAGCAACGAACATCCAGTCAGAGGAGATTTTCAGGATGGGTTGCTTGGCAGGGAGGGAAGGGGCAAGTGGGTGTGGAAGAGGATAAACCTGTAATGTTCCTCAATTGCGGTGCAGAAGCAGGCCTCAGATTTCCTCCTAGGGCTCAAACTTACCTTGGCAGAGCTCTTATCAGTGCTCAGCCACACTCTCACGCAGGGGATGAGCCTCAGCTGCCTGGTGCACCGGGCCCTTCCTGGAACTGCAGGCTCCATTCTTTTTCTGCCCTAGACTGACGCAGTTACAGCCTTCCTCAGGGCTGACCTAGTGGCAGCTGCAAGCCACAGGAGACACGTGGATGCAGTAGAATGAGACACACAGAAGTTGTGCTCTGGCACAGGCAGGATGAGGTGGTTGCTGGTGAGGGAAACTACTTGGGGGCTAGAAATTTGCTGATTGCCTTTACAGAGAAGCAGATTCAGGAGAGAAAACCCTTGTCAAGCAGTTGAGCTCTGTCCTAACTCCTCTGCACCACAAAGCACATGCCACTGGTGTAACACCCTTCTTGGCGGATGAGTACACTGGTCATGGCCCATCATTAGCTGCTGAGCAGCAGCCTTCCTTGCCAGCCAGAGTATCCTCTCTACCACACTAACCTCTCTGAGGAGGGAGAAACAGGGGAATAGCACTTTCAAAACAGTCTGCCTTGCAAACCATGACCTCAATATTGTTTGCACTGAAGTCCAAAAGCAGGAAGATCATTCTCTTCACATTTTTTGCTGGCATTCAGTAACTAACCTCTGGGACCTGGATGCTTACAAGAGAGAAAATTTCTAAAACACAGCAATAAAGAGGACGTGGGTGCTGGGGGAGGAGGAAAGCGGGGAGGGGGAGAGGAGGGATACGTATGTCACAGCTTACCTCAGAGCCAGAATTAGAAGCTGGGTAAAAAAAATAAAATCACAGCAGGAAATAATGTGTGGCTTAAAATAGCAACATCAAATGCGAGCGGGAATGGGGAGTGGGTGGCATTTGAGGTTGCTGCTCTGTTCCTCCCTCAATGGCAGGGTGATTAATATGTCTACGCTACTTGTATTTATGTAACAAAGGGCACTAAAGGCCAAAGCTGCGTTTTCACTAACACTGCAGGTGAGTCTGTGAATCTTTTCTTCCCCCCATAGCATTAAATGGGAGGATCTGCACTTGTGCTTCCTGCCTCAGAAGCAAAAAAAAAATCTTTAAGAAAAAAATCCATGCTTCAGCCCTGCACACACAGTTACATTTCCACAGCTTGGCATGGTGGCACAGAGACCTTTAAGGCTTTGAAGGCATTCTGCTGCCTTTCGCAGCTCCCCACAGAAAAAGCCTGTTCCCAGAGCACACCTGTAAACACGGTTGGGTTGTCTCTAGCTGGAGGCTGCGCTGCAATAGCAGGCAAGGTACCACTACATGTTCCTACACATTTTCATGCTCGTTCTCTGTATTTGCAGTGAATCATAGATCTTTGAGATGGGTCATGCAGTCCATTTCCTTGCCAGCACAGGATTGTTCCCAGCCATGTACTTAAACCCTCACGTTTCTCTTGCAAGACAATGATTCAGACTGATCATTCTTTTCTCTTCACACCTTGTATCCTGAGAACTACATTAAAGATTCAAAAGCACTGATGTGTTTTGATAAGAAAGGGATATTGTTCTTCAACCTACCAAATCACTGTTCACTGATGATGCTGAAGTTACTCAGCAAAGTGGCCTTGGCGGACCTATGGCACTTGTTCTTCAGACTGTTGTGATCTCCTCTGGACTAATAAGCAGAACAGGCCTGCTCTGAACTTGTAGTGAAAGGTAGGAAAGCATCCCAAGAGGTGCAGAAAACTTGCATCTCAGTTGGCCACACTCAGCACCAAGGTAGTGGTCAGTCTCCCTCTCTCTGTGTTTGGTCCCCTCAGAGAGCAAAGGCAAGAGCAAAGACCTTCCATCACCTATCTGCACACCCAGCATAAGTCTGCCCCCATTCCAGTCAGTCCTATCAAAATAATGCTTGCAAGTATCTGTACATGCAAATAGGATAAGACCAAGTTTGTCATGTGATAAAAACCTGCTGCACAGGCCTGATCCTGATATTTCCTGACGTCAGCAAATATCTTTGACATAAGTTGGGCTGTGCTGCTGTCAGAGTAGGGAGAATCTGGCCCAGATCTCATGCAAATCTTCACACAAGCAGGCAGAGCAGCACGATTTGTTTAAACATGGCATGCTGGTGGTTGCAGACAGAAATCACTCCCAGCAACTCCCTCAACATGCATAATATCCTGCTAGTTAAATCCAGCCGTGGTAAATATCTCCACCGTGTTATCCCTCCAAGCAAATATAGTACCTGTATGGAAGAAATTCCTCAGAACGTTTCCTGTCTGGAGCTGAAGCTTGCCAGGGACTGAATTTCCTGTGAGGCTACGGTTGGGAATGCAAAGCAAATAAGCTAACAAGAAAATGAGATGATACGTATTTGGACCTGCTCTATACAGATCCTCCTCAGCAAGCACATTTCCCTCCTGTTTACATAAAAATGAAGTGCCTAGATTTTCAAATATCAGCTGGGTTATTTTTCATTAGTAATTCTTATTTTTACCCCACTGCCTCCCTTTCTACCTGTTTTTTTCCAGCTGCAATTCTGTGACTTACACATCCTGAAAATGAAAGAAGTTGTTTTTGCCAATAGCAAAGTGATATGCATCCTTTCAACCATCTGGAAATGGATTTTTTATTCTTCCCCTCTCCCAACCCCACACGCACGTGCACACACGCAACCGAGTCTTTGTCTCTCGGAATCATTTCCCGCACCAAAGCTGATGGCCATGAAAAGAATTCAATAAAAATGTTCCACAGGCATTAAGAGGCCGAGACAGAATAAACAGGGTGACTTCCTGGGCACTTGTTCTCATCCAAACTGCCACCTCATGAGGAAGTGATGAATGCAATGGAGCATACGGTTCAGTTGTTAGAGATTAAGAGAGGTAGTTTAAGGCTCCTGTGTTTTTGTCCTGGCTCTGCTACAAACCTCCTTTGTCACTAAGATCAAGTTGCCTACTTGCTTAGTGCCTCAGCCCACCCCCCCACGCCATCAGTAGTAAACAGGGATATGCTTTCTAACCCCATGTGATGATCAATGCATTCATGTTTGTAACGTGAGCTGATCTCCAGAGATAAGGAAGTAATCTAAAGTGAAAACCGCCATGAAAACTCTATGCTGAGCCTAATAGAGTCAAGCAGGACACTTTAGGAGCCAAAGACCAGACTTGATCATCCCTTGCCCAGAGGCAAAATGTTAAGTGAGCTATGTCACCATGCTATCCAGATGACTGCAGGTCTGCAGGAGGAAACAAAGAAGAGCCAGAGCCACACTGACTGGTACAAACATGCTTATGGTGTCCAGCTGAGAATGAGTAACAGCTGCTTGCTCATCATCCTGATTTCTGTCACTACTAGTGTTTCTGAATGCTGAAGTGTCCCAATGCTGTGACTCAGGGCTATGAGTCATGGGCTGTATGTCTCCACCGCATGGAATCACTCACTTGCTCTCTTTGATGAGATTGCAGAAATCACAGATCATCTTGGGTCTCTTACAGTGGTAGGTCTTAAAAATATAGACGTATTTACAAACACATTCAGAACAAAGCCATTCTGTCTAAAATACTGTCTGCTGGGGATTTGTATTAGAGTTCAATTTCACATACACAACCCACCCAATAAATCCAGGAAAAGTAGAAGCCTTTTTTTCCTTCTGTGGACATTTAATTTCTATATCCTCAAAGTCTGGCTAAACAGGATGCAGTGCAGGTAACATTCAACCTTTTGCTTCCCCTGCTTTTACAAGCCACATTTTTAAGACCTGAAATGCTGACATCAAGGCAACACAATGCTTTTTGGCACCAGATCTGCCTCATCCTTGTCAAGGCTCTCCAGCCTTCCCAGTAAGGAAGCTTTGATCTAGTGGCATTCTACTAACCTCAGTGCTAGGCTGCAATTAGTTGTATGCAGGGCTGTAGCAGAAGCCTTCTTTGAGTTGGCTGTCAAGACCTCAGAGAAGACACCAGATACTGCCAAGGTATCATCAAATCTGTGTTGACCACGTACAATGCAGCAGACCATTTTCCCATCTACAGACTGCAACAGTAACCAGCTGCGCATTCAGGAGCTCACCTCTAGTTTCTGTAAATTCTCTGTTGATGCAGGTGCAGCTGAAATAGCCACCGCTTCCTCTTGAGATGAGGGAGAAGGGGCTCACCTCAGCACTGACCTCACTGGCTGGGAACCTCCTGCACTGTCCACCCGTACAGCACCTAATCAGTGAAGTGGAGGCCCCACGCTGACAAGAGTGGGATTGCCGATACTCCTCTAGTGGCAGCACAGTTTGTGTTGGCAAAAGAGTGTTTCTGTTGGCATATGCCTCTTCCCAGAATTGATTAAGTCATGCCTGGTTTTGCAAATACCTCTGCAAAAGGTGTTTTGCCGGTGTAAAGATGTGGTAAAGAATCACTCTCTCTGCTCACAGGCAGTCTGAATCCTTTCCACAGAGGTAGACAGAAGATTGCGTTGGCAATCTCTCTGAGTGGGTTCTGTGTGCTGGGACAGGGTGAGTGCACTTATAGATCTGAACTAGTGCAGACAAACACCAAGATCCATACTAGGAAAGCAAACAATGCTCTGAGCCCAGGGACTCCCGGGTGATAGGAAGTGACTTCAGCGCACCAATTCCTCTATTCCCGTAACTCTCTGTGGGTTTGCCAACAATCCTTATCATCCTTGCTGAGAAAGGAGCAGTTTGCTAACTGATTACATCCGTGTTTCCTTACTGTGGTCAGTCAGTTGCTGCATACCAGAAACAGCTGGTACAATTGATAGATAAGCACACGTCTCAATGGATTTTCCTCTGTCTGCTGTAACCACAGCCATCCCTGCAGCCACGAGACAGGCAGTTCTAGAAAGGAGTGAAACAACACAGAGCAGTTTTGTTACCTGTATTAGTTTTCTAGAAACACTAATCCAGGGAGTATTGACTTTTCCCACATTTCCATACAAAATACTGCAGGTCTCCGTAATGGAAGGCAGGATAGTCCCAAGCCTCCCTACCAGCCCCCCAACACAGCACATCCCACAGCCCAACAAGACAAAGACCCCTGCAGACAACGCAGTTCAACTGCTGGACCAAGAAGATGCAGGGCTCAAGATCCAAGATATCAGGTCCCTCGAGATACCAACTCTAAGCCAGGATCCGTGCCCTGTGCTGACACAAGGTCAAGTCTAACAATACAACCTGAGACTAGCCAAAAAATGAGCAAGACCGAGTTTTTTGAGGACAAGCATGAATGCATTTGGAATTTTACCCCATTTTGATTAAAGCTCTCTGCACCTTGAGTTCAGCATTTTTGGATAGCCTGAAGGCACTCTTCAAATGCAACAGCACAGTTAAGTAACAAAATGCCTCACTATCACATCTACTCCAAGCACACTGCCCTCTTTTAAGCAGCACATCATGACAACAGTCATCTCAGGTCAAATTTCTCTTCAATTTGAGTCATACGAGTATCATCAGAGATGGAGTTAGCCCAGTTTGTTAAGTGACTAGAAAATAGTCAATATTATTTTGGAATTTGGTTTGTACACATGACCCTTCCCTTGCTGTGAGCTCACACCATGAGATGGGCAGGAATGTTCAAATAGCATCATCTTTGACCTTTTTGGTACTGAGATGTTTGTTGTTGGTTTTTTTGAGGTTTCTGAGAAGCTCCCACAAACCTCTGTCCCCCCATCTCCTAAACTGCATCTGCAGCATCCAACCACAGTCCCTCTGGAGGGCAGCGTGGCTCTCACAGTGACGACACTACACTCTTAATTTGTTCCAGCCTGTTTCACACTGACATTTTAGCACTGACGTCATCAGCTGCTGAAATTTCATTGCTGCTGCTAAGAATAACAGCCCTCCTCATCCCCCACCTTACACCAAATAATTATTTTAATACAGTAGGGATCTAGGCTTATCTTTTCTGACACAAATCAGGTTCTGGTGGTTAAAAGAAGAAGTAAGAACAAAGCATTGCAGATGCTTTTCTGTTCTGTCAGCCTGGGACAAAAAAAACCCCAACCCAATACAAAAATCAAGACTATATTGCTAAGTGCTAAGAGTGCTATAAAAAATGAATGGGAAAAGTTCAGACTGATTTGTTTAAAGCAGTTGGACAGTCTTAGGCATTGCAAATTGCTTAAATAGCCTAGGCTACAGTCTGCCCCAGCAGTCCCTTACAAAGCCCCTTCCAAATTCTCTGAGGCTTTGTACCTTGAATATTTACTTACACTGGTGCAGTGTGGGCATAAAGTACTGCCAAATCAGAATTTCCCATTGACTTTAGGGCCTGAACCAAATCCCATTGATTTCCGTGGGAGGATTTCTATTAACTTGAATGGGCATTGAATCAAACCTAAATTGGCAGTGCTCTGCACCCATCTGGCACAGTGTAGTTCTCTGCATAAGGTGGAGAATCAGGTCCAAAGACACTGAGAAATGCTTTAATTAAGAGCATTATTGAGGAGAGTAAGCTTTTCCTTCATTAAGCTGATAAACCAGATTTATTCTATACTTTTAATGGCAAAGGGTCAGATTCTCAAAGACATTTGGTCTAAAGATGAAGCTGAATGCTTACAGGATTTCCAAGAAATGCTTAAAGGCAAATCAGATGCTGAGAAGCCTTTCAAATCAACACATCTGTATCCTTATTTAGGTGCTTTCAAAAATCCTAGGAGCTACCTATTTGCCTTTTTTGTAGCCTTATACACCTATTTTGGTAGTGTTCTAAACCTCATCAGAAGTTATAAGATGATCATTGCCTGCAGCCAGCATCCAGGTCTACTCACTGATTCCTGGTCAGGACTGGGCCCTCTCAGGCACATTGAGCAGCAGCTGCAGTAACTGCACCAAGTATTGCCTATGGGTACCTGCCCCCTGTGTCCCCCCATTCCCCACAGAAGGAGAATGGCACCTCCATCAGGCACAGCAAGTCATCTGCAGTCCTTTCTGGTCAGGACTGACAAAGGCCTTTAAAAACCAGACATGCAGAGGTCCTGGAATCGTTATTTTCGACCCCTGCTAGGGAAGTCAGCAGCTAGCACAGCTTCAACTCCAAAAGCAGACCTGAACCTAGACGGACTCGCATCTGGTCAAGGAGAAAATTCTCACAACTTCTTTGTTACTGCTTCGCCATCAATTCTGAGGTTTGGAATCATTTCCTCTGTTGCTGCTGACCCTCTCAGGCACCTTCCTCTACTGCTTGATCTTTAGAAACTGATGCCTTCATTATTTCTGCATCTCCCTTTACTACAGAATAAGGCAAGTTTTAGTAGCTGACTCTTCTGATGCATCCTTCAGTTACTCAGCAGAAGTTATTTTGCCTGCCTATTATTTTTCATTTGAACTTGAGTGTTTGGCATGGTCTTTTTCTGGAAAGTACAGGGAGATTGATGATGAGGCATAAGAGACAGACATCTCTGCTTAAAAATCCTAGAGGCTGCAAAAGAGAGAAGATGAAAGCAGCATTGTCACACTAAAAAGCCTTCCCCTGAAGTGCCGCAGGGGAAGAGATCGGGAAAAGGTTGATGATAGAGAGGAAAGCAAAGAGAAAGTGAAAGTGGTGTCAAAGCCAAGCCTTGAACATGAAGTACAAGAGCTAGGAATGTCTCTTCCGACCCCTGGCAGCCATTCTTTTTTGGCCTGAATCAGTCAGCAAGGTCACATGCAACTGGGCCAACAGGAGCATATCTCTGAGCTGAGGTGCCTCTCCCAGCAAACGTCAGGATGGGTTTGGTTAGAAGCCTGAGGGATAGTTGCAGCCACCTGATTTCCTCAACCCCCGTGCTAACCTCTTCCTCTCTTCCTGCCCATGACTAATTTCCCTTCACCTCCTCCCACGCACACCCCCAGTTCCTCACCCCGTGCATTTTTATGCACAAAAGACACTTGCTAGATTACACCACCTGCTACTGGGATAAGTATCAGGTAAAGAGATAGGAATGTAATGGGCACCATGATTCCTAAAAACCAAGGAAAGGAAGAAAAATTTCTGCTTGGCATTGGCACAGGGGCAACTCTCAAACCAGCTCCTTCTGATAAGAGACCTGCTTCTGGGTTGGGTTGGAGATAAAAATGTGCTCTTTAAAGAAAATTTAAGTTGCTAAAAAAGCTGCTCACTACAAACAATAAGGCCTCAAACACTCTCATGTCTATGCTGGGGAGTCAGAGGGCCAGATCATACCAGAGCTGGTTCAGCTCCAAGGGGGTAAGTCATGACTTGGAGCCACGCACTGAAAGCAAAGCTGTGCCCAGCAGGGTTCCTGGGTGTGAGTGGGAATGGTGCTGCCCCACCAAATACCTTTTGCTTTCTTTTGCTGACACCTACAAAACTGCTCCCAGCTTCAGGCTGTGGCTCTGGTTCTGTTCCGTACCAGTTCTACCATGGTGCTGTTCCACCAAGGAGCAGTTTTGAATCTCAGCTTCCCCAGGGCGAGCAAGAGGGGGAATAGGCCTACGGTTTTATTTGTTGCCTACACCAAAAAGCATTATCTAATTAAAAATCACTAGAAACCACATCCATTTGCAGAAATGGCTCCGCTTCAGAGGAATCTCTTGAGGCAAATAAGTGAGTAATTTTTAAGGGTTTATGAAAATAGCCTCTATAGTTACACTCGCTAGGATAAAATTACAAGTGTTTTCAATCCTCATACTTTGGGGCATAAGTTGATCCTCAGCTGGGGGCCAGGGAGGAATTTCCTCCCAGAGGATATTATTGTTCTGCGAAGTATCTCATGGGAGATTCACATCCTCCAGAGTTATCTGGCATTACCCACTAGAGGAAAAAAAAAAAAAAAGAAAACCCAGGAAGAGGTACTGCTCAAAACGAGCAGTACTGCTCCGGTCTCCTCGCATCACACCTCGGGGGCCCGGCCGGGGGCGGCCCCCGTTGTTGCACAAGCTGCCCCGGTGTTGTAAGGGACCCCGGAGATCCGGGAAGGGCGCGGGACGGTCCCGCTCCTTCTGGGAAGCGCCGTGACTCACCCGCCGCCTCGGGACCCTTCCCGGCGCGCCTCTCGCCCCGCCCCTCGCCGGGACAGCCAATCACCGCCCCTGTATTTGCATACCGCGCAGGGCGCTCCTGGGATGGCGACGGGGGCTGCACTTCCCGCTCCTCTCCCGCCACCGCCGCGCCGTCGCTACGCGCGGAGCGGTATCCCCTCAGGAAAGAGTGTAAGGTGCATCCTGATGGAAAGCATCCCTCACCCTTACTTTAGGATGAAAGAGTGGTGGGGTTTTATATAGGGGGTCAGTACCCACTCTGAGTTGCCCGGATGACCCTCAGTGGTCTGGGGTGCAGGCTTCAAACCTGTAGCTGTCTAGCGACAGAGTGGTTCAATTCCACCTTTCGGGCGATGGACAGAGGCAACCTTTTCACCCCAGCCGGCCCCCAAGGCAAAACACAGCACACTCCACCAGACCTGTCACCAGAGCCATACACTTTGGTTACTCTCTTTTCACTTTTCTCCCACATCACTGGACTGTGCTGGGTACAGCCAAAGGAAGGGAAATCTCCCAATGGCTGGACTGTGCTGGGCACAGCCAAAGGAAGGGAAATCTCCCAAGAATGCCTGGGTGACAACTCTAGATTTTAATTGGATTCTTTTCTGTTTAACATATCTTTGTTAAACAGTGTCACACATCCTACAAGAACAGAAAAAAGTAAATAACAGAAGCCATTCTCTAGCTCTGCTCCATATTGATGATAACCCATCTCCCACCCACACCACAACAAAGATGCTTCACTTCAGCAGTAGGCATGGGTACTAATAATGTCACCCAGCCCCATGAAAAATAAAGGTTAGCATCAAGCTAAAAAACATATTCTTCAAGCAGAAGGCATTTATTTCATTATATCCTATTGCAACAACTCCAGTGGATGATTTGTGGAACCTCTAATTAAGACAAGACCCCAACCACTTGGACTGCAGGGGACAGTAAGGGTTGAGAGGGCTTTTTCACTTTATCTCCTGGCCCCACAGGCAGGAAGGGTGATTCTGCCTGGTGATTTCCAGAAGAAATACTGAGTGAATTATCAGATCTCTGATGTTCCTGGGTGCTTTCTGAGGGATGCAGTGCCCTCCGGAGTTAAGTAGGTAAGCACCCCTGAGGATCTAAGCCAGAATGACTGTGCTTCCTTTACACAGAATGAGTCACTCCAGCTGAAAGCCTGGGAGGAGAAGGGAAGGGCACTGAGAACACTGACACCATTCCCTATGGCTGCTACTTCGAGTCTGCAGACCCCAGAGCCGGTTAGAGAGGAGCAGCCTTGGTGCCAGCAAAGCACATCATTCCAAGAATATACTGTCCCATTATGGGAAATCTAGGGGGAAAAGCCCCTCTGAAGCATGTGCCAACTTCTTTGTGGCCTTGCAGGAGATGTGCGTGCGCTCTCCCCAGCACAGCTGGGAGCGCCCCGAGTCCCAGATGGCTATCTGCTCCATGCTGCTCTGCCTACCAGCCAGCCTCTCCTGCCCATAATGAACTGTCGATGTGGAATTTCTCTGCGGCCTCAGAAATTGGTATCTGCGCCGCAGTTTGGCCAGGGGGTTGTGTTTTAGGGGTGAGGGGGAGAGTTGGAAAGTCCTTTGCCCAGTAGTGGGCAGCTGAGAATGCTAGCACTCCATGTCAGTTACCAAGCAGAACATAATACGGCTCTTTCATGTGGTGTTTATAACTGAACATGCTGTTTTGTGTCAGCCTGATTTTTTTTTCCTTCCAAGAAGTAGTTTTGGATTAAATTATGACAATTACATTCTTATATTCAACCCCCTCCCAGCCAGCCCCCACCCTTGCCCTGCGTGCACACAAACACAAATGGGAATTATGTGCTCTGAGCGCGATTTGAACTACACAGCCTGGGATCTGTGCTTGGCATTGAGATCACTTTTTTTCCTCCAGAACAAAAAGGCCACGTCCACTCTGCACTCTTTCATTGCCTTAGGATAAAGTAAGATGGTCAGATTGCTGGTGTGGGTGATTTGTCCCTCAGGGAGTTGATAGGGAAAACAGACTTTCAAGCACATGACAGAGAAGGCTGGCAAGCCCCCCCCTGAGGAGGTCATGGTAACCGGCGTGGGGAGAGCTTTGTGAAATCCCCTGCGAATCCCTACTCAAGATACTTACACACCCCCAATCTGGCTCCTGTACCTGGGCAGTGCCTCATCTGAGGGGTAAGGCAGGCACATGGCAGGATAAAATCCCATCTTTTTGGGCTGTGCTGTCCAGGGCTGCACCTCTAGCACGTGGGCGAAGCCCAGGAAACACGGGTGTCCATTAGGACAGGAGACACGGCAAGGCTGCTCTCACAGCTTTAGCTGACACAGCAGGTGGAACAAGGCCTTAAGAAACAGGGCACCCTATATTTTGGTGCTGTTTTTTAAACACTGGTTGGAGAAGAACACCAGTGTGGAGGCCTGTGTAGATGATCTGTCTGTAGGAGGGACATTTTGCACAATGCCATCCATGTCTTGTCTGAGTCGGCTTTGTTTGGAGTCACTTATTAGTCAGGCAAAGCTTCCAGTGTTTGAACCTGAATGTCACTTTCTTCCCTGACAAAGGGCCAAATTAAGAGGAGCCAAAGGCCTCACCACTGGTTAGGAGGCAATCCAGGGGTTACTCAGAGCCACGATGCACGAGAACCTGGCTCCTCAGCCAAACGTAATCTGCCTCCTGTTGTTTTCCCCACGGAGTCACAGCACGGTGAGGAGGATGTGCTGGTGACAGATGGCTGACGCGACTTGCTAAGCGTACGGGTGACTGGGCTGTGACTCAGCAAGTGTTTGGTTACAAGAGATTGGGAGCATGTGCTTTTGCACTGGTAACAGTGGCTTTAGCTGGGTCTCCTGGAGGACCAGGCATGGGCTGTCATCTGAAGCCTGTGACTGCCGTCTTCCATGGAAGGAAAGCAGGCACACGTGGCCCATTGGGGCAGAAAGTCAGGCTCCTAAATTACTGTTTACATTTGTAATGGATAATGTCTGAATGTGTATAAATATGTGACGTGCCAGTGGTGTTTAGATGTCCTACTGGCCTTCAGAAAGGAAACCATTCAATATCCTGGCCTAGAAAAACGACCATCTTGCTTGGAGGGAGTAGGACTCTGAAAACTTCTGTTGCAGTTGAGTCACTAGAGGGGGACAAAGACCTAGCCTGCATACGAATCCATCTACCAGTTCCCCCAATGCAGCTGTGGGAGACACCTTGGAAAAGCAGCAGCAGAGATGGCTCTGATCTTCCTCAGGTCTGAAGATGCCCAACTGCTGGGACAGCTTTCCTGAGGCTGAGCACACAGCTGGGGATCAGCAGTACTTGAGAAATGAAGCCACTCCTTTTCCCCCAAGAAGCATGATGGCACATGTATGTGCATGTGCAGGTTAGCAGCCTTTATGTTGGCTCTTCCAGCATTTCTCCCTGCCTAGAGCCTGACTGTCCATAGTTGGCCTGAGCTCTCAAAGGCTAAATTCCAAGCACTGCAGAGGACAAGATGGTGTCACCCAGGCAGAGGATCTAGACAATCATTTATGTTTACAGGCACATGCCATTTTTCTCCTTTCTCCTCTTTTATGAATGGGAGAGAACTGAATTTTCAGGTCTGGATGGGTGCCAGGGGTTACTGTTGTCTCTGTGAGACAAAGACGTCATGGAAATATTGGAGGAGTTGAACAGAATGTACCTGTGTGCATCCCACACATGCACAGAAAGCCAAAGTGGCCGTGGCAAGCAGCACAGCAGTGCTTGCAACTAACATATTGACCTGGAGTGCTTAAAAGCTACTACACATGCTCTCCTGGTGAAATGTCGGCCGTAATGACTCATACAAATGGATCGTGATATGCAGCCCTCAGCCCAGCCAGGCTATGTGTGGAACCAAGACACTCCCATTTTCTCCCCTCCAGCATGCTTCCCTGACCAAATCAAGGACTGAGCCATTTGGCTCTGACTGGAGCTGGTCAGAACATGTTTTTCTTTTCTTCTCTTTTCCCCTCCTTCACCCTTTGGAAAATGTTGACATTTCAGCAAAGGGCTGAAAACCCAAATCGTGAATATTTTCCATTGAAAAATGCTGGGGGAAAGGGAGGGGAATAATCCCCACACTGCCAAAAATCAAACCTCTTTTGCTTTTAAGACTTTGGGGTTTATGAGGAGGGGAGCACATTTGGAGGCCAGTGAACACTTTCTATGAAAGTATATTTCCTCTCAAAACCAAATTTTTCACTACAAAAATGTTCCAACTGGCACAATTTTCACTGGTGATGGTTTGGACCCTCTCTACATCTAATTTGGGAATGAATCTGAAGAAAATGTAATTCATTTTATTGGAATATAAGGCACAAATGACATTCCCACAGCACAATTGATATATACTTGGCATTCTCAGTATCATGAGACCATACCCTGATATTCTTTCTTTGTCAACAGTGCTGTTCACACAATCATCTCAGGAAAGTTTGGAACCCGATCTCTGGAGATACCACACTCCCACCACACTCCCAGAGCTCCAGTTGACTTGCCTCAGACCTCGGAGCACATTCCAGAAGAGAACTTACCTTTCACAAGATCACATCAAAGGCTGTAAAGGAAGCAATATGCACAGAAAGGCGTGTTACCTGTAACTATCTCTTGAGTAGCTGATAGCACAGAAACACTTACAAGGCATTTTGTTCTGATGTCTTCAGCTGATTTACATTTCTGTCTGAATCGTAATGACACATCTGTTTCATCTTGTTTTTGCACATTATTCTGCTTTCCTGTAAGATAAAAATAAAAAAAGAAAAGGGACAATGTTAGCATAACAGAACACACATACTTGTAGGAGACGAATTGTGCCCTAAAACTTTTTCTAAATGTGGCTAATAGCAGGTTACAGTTTATAAAAGGAAAGATCTTAAAATGGGCACACACTGGTCATAAATAAACTAAGGCTGCAACCTTGCAGAAACTTTAAAAAAAAAATAGCAGAGTGAAGTTTAGAATAACCTTAAAAGACAAGCAATGGGAATAAAAAGCTTAATTGTTTGAAGACAGATCTTTATCAGTTGTGGGACATCATGATAGCAAAGGAGTAGATTCAACAATCCAGAGAACCTTTTAATTTGTTGTGCCCCTGTTTTTTTCCACATTGAAGCTTGCCAGTTACTATTTACATTCTCTCTGCTATGATTAAGCAATTGCACTGCTGCACTTCTCTCTGATTTAGTAGAGGTCCCTATCTCCTGTCACTCCCAGGTTTTTCTGAACTAACCACCTGTATTTTAATTCAGTCAGCACCAAAGAAGGGGCATATTTGACTTCATCAAACCCCCATTTTTTATTCTTTTCAGTTTAGGAACATCTTTTTGCAATTGTTAAAGCTTATAAAGCAGTGGGTTTAGAAAGAAAATGATGCAAAATCTCAATTTTAGACCTCACCTATGTTGGTTGAGGACAACTAAATTGCATGTTGATAAAAGGAAGAGGCACTTCCTTTATCAGAATGTCTCTGATAACTTAGTGGCAAGAAATACAAAGTTCCCAAGGACCTGCATTGGTGCTCTGTGTCTTTCGTCATAATTTTTCATGATAAGTAAGCAATTTTTCACTTACAGAACCCTATTCCAGAGTTAATAAAGTCAAAAGATCAAGAGTTTTAGTCCCTCAACTTGAAAACACAACTGCATGAAAGAAGGCACAGCAGAAAACTAAGGAACTGCCATCCGGATATGCAGAGCTGTAACCAGCCCTTGGAAACCCACACACACATAGCTGAGATGTAGCGATGAGCTGTCCTTGCTCCCATCAGTACTAAAGGGGCAGATGCAGAAACAAGGAGATTCCAAATAAGAAGATAAAGAGTCAAATGAATCACCCTGTCACTGTGTGAAATGTAACAACTGGGAGAGCCAACAGATTAAGCCAGGGCTTGTGGCTATTAACATTCACGGAAACATGTTCCATAAATTCAGCTTTCCGAGAAAAACTGGATTCTAGCTTCCTTCTGGTAATTTAAAGAGGCAACAATCTGTTCATATGACCTTCAGATCGGGCTGGTACAGGAACTGAATCCTACAATAAAAACTGAAGAATGGCTCTTTGGGGCCAGAGCAGTGGTCCTCCCCACACAGCACTCTGCTCCCAACTAGGGCAAGGTAAGAGATTGTCCAGGGAGTGCACTCAGGCCTGGACATTTCCCTCTCCCTTTTGTTTCCTCAGCATTCACCTTTGTTGGATTGGGATGTTAGATTGTACATTTTGCCTGTTCCTTTTAGGGTTGTTTTATGGACTTGTTGCCTGCAAATTTGTCTAATGCCATTCTGAGCCCACTGGTGCTGTCTGCCTCTGCAGCCTTCTGGGCCAGCAACTTCCAGAAGTCCTCTACCTAGTATGATGTAATTTCTTCAGTCTGTTTTAAACTCATCTCCTACTAGTTTCACTGAGTGCTCCCTGTTCTGCTGTTGAGGGATTTGGCTACTAATGGCTCTGCATTCACCTCAGCCACCTTGATTTAGTGAATCCAGTCCTTAGCCACCAGAAAAATAGCGAAGCATTGCGATACTGGGTTGCTCAGCTCACTTCCGTCCCTGACACTTGCTGACCTGCCCAGAATGGTTTTGTGCCTGGAGCACTCTGGCTGTTACCAAACTCAGGGGAGAAAAATAATGGCAAAGCAAAGGGAGTGCAACTTCCTTCCAGGGCTGTACTCCCCACGCAGCTGTTCACCGATGACGCAACGGGTCCGTTTTGCGGTTAAGAGCTGGATGCTGATGGCTCAGTCCTTCTCCTGGGGCTCTGCAGATCTGGGCCCAGCAGGGGGCTGCAAAGCAGCAAGCAGGATTTCAGGGAGGGTAGGCTGGCAGCCCTGGCGGGGGTGTCCAGGGCATCTTCCAAAGTGGCTTTAATTAATGAGCACATGTGCAGCGAGGAGAGTTACAGCATCCCACTCAAATTGTTGACTTGGAGCCGCTTCTGGAGACAGCCGTATTCTGCTCATTAGGAAAGAGCTTTTTTGCAATGCCCTTGGATTGGATGGCTCTTGGATTGCACCACAAGATCAAGTCCACGTACGGGCTGCCTGCCTTTCGGCTGCCAGCTCCAAGAGGGTTGTTTTTCTTGTCTTCTCATTCTCAAGGAGTGCTCAGCCAGATGGCCTGTTTTCGAATGCACTGTGCGTTGGTTGGATGTGTGTTTGGAGAGTCTGCCAGCTTCACGAGAAGGAAGAAAGAGCAAAAGAAAGGGAAAAAAGCGCCATTTGGTATCTATCTCTGGGACCCAGCCAGAGTTGAGGCTCTGTTTGAAGAAGGGGGGAGTCTTAAGAAAGAAACTCTAGACAAAATTGAAAGCTGGAAAAACTTTCAAGCTTGACAGACTGGGAGACTGAAGTTCTGTACAACATTCATCTACTACCTGGCTCCATTGCAAACGTGTAGCAGACTTCCTCAAAAACAATAAGAGCAAGAACAAGCACCAAGTGCCTATCTCTCTGCTCTCCCAACATACCTCACCTGTGGGCTGGGATGTGGAGAGGTGACCCAGCCAGCCTGCCCACCAAGGCTGGGTGGTGCTGCCTGTGGCTTCTGGGATTTTGCTCTCAGTTCACCAAAACCAGAAATTACAGCATTCAGCCTTGGACACATCTGCTCAGGAAGAGGAGCCACAATGGAGTAGTATGAAATACCCACCACCATGACCCAACTCTCAAAGAAGCTAGCCTTAAGTGGTAAATTAGGCCAGGCCGATGTCATTTTCTTGCACTCCCTGATATTCATTTCCCAGAAACACCTTCTGTTTATTTGGTGCAGCAAATAAACACAGGCCAAACCAGAGAAATGGCTTTTTCTGTCACTCACTGGCAAATAATTTGAACCTGACAAGAAAAATCTGTTGTTGAAGGGAAGGGGGAAGTTTTGAAGTTTGCGTGTATTGTGCTTGGCTTTCTTTTCTTTACTAGATGCCATGTTGTGGTAACAACATATTGTTACAAGCAGCAGGAAGAGGTCTTGTTGAGCAGAGCTGGAGAAAGCCATGTTTGTAACCATCCCTGCTGGCTGACATGCCACTGTGTCTTACAAGCAGACTTGTCTGCTCGCTTATTGAAACCATGTCACAAAGAAAATGGTTGCAGCAGCATGTGTATCTGTGCAGGTGGGTGTGGTACCTGCAAACCTCACTTCTCCACTGATTGCACCGAATTATTTTCACTGAAGTGTTCGGAATTTGCGAGTCCAGGGTGGACAGTGTGTCCATGGCAACACACTGGGCTGTGTGTTGCAGACACTCTGCAGACAGCCAGGGTACAGGGGGCTCTTCTCACTCCTGCTGTGGGCCACACATCTCAGGCAAAGCCTGCTGGTGTCTACAGCACATCAAAGCCTGTGGCTTCTCAGGACTGTCTGGCTGTCACTACACCACGTCCAAGAGCTACACAACGTTGACTTCACAGCAGTAGCAAGAACAGCATCTGCAGGCCCCACCCTGTGAAGAGCAGGACCTTTCCCCAAATAGGAAAAGGAGAAAACCTCATCAGCTGTTGGCAAAACAGTGTCTCTGACCTAGGGGTGCAGATGCCGTCCTGGAAGGGAAGGAGGATTCAAGGAGGGTTCAAGGTAGTGATTACACCACACAAATACATTCTTGCATGGGTAGGAAGGCTACACAAAGAGATTGCCTCCCTTCCTGCTCCAACAGGACCCAATTCTGGTAAATAATGCTGGCATAAAAAACAGGCTGCAGTACCTATATACATAATTAAGATCTTTACAAGATACTGGATTTTCTGTCTACCAAAAAGAGGTGGGAAAATCCAACAGTAAGTTCAACCATTCTCTCAGGGTTTTAGAGGGCTCATTACACCATTCAGGCAATTGCCTGATTGTCACCCAGTGTTGTCATGGAGCTGATAAAGGACGGATTTCTGTCCTTAATTGCACAGAAAATTCAGGGGTTTAAGAGTCACAAGATTAGGCTTCACCACAGTTAGGCTAGTTACTGCACCTCTTGGCAAATGGAAAAAATTATTACCACAACATTCACATGAGTACACTTGGGAGGAGGTAGCTCCCAAACAAAAGTCCTTGGTGCACTTTGTGTGGGAGCTCAGCCAGAAACAACACCCAGCCATCCGGTCACCCAGGCTGCACTGGCTGTGTCAGACATGAACACCAGCCTCTGCATTTTTCACACAAGGTTATTTCCCCTGCTTTATTTCATTGCTCTAGTGCTACCTGACTTGTGGACATGTGCATTTCCAGCACGCTGCATAACATGGCACAAGCTGACAGTCCAGTCTGAAAAAACAATTCCCTCTAAGTTATCTGGCCAAGTATCATTACATACCTGACATTGTCCAAGGAGGACAAGCTAGAAGAATTGTCCAAATATGGGATTTTGGAAATATGTGTACTGTAAAGAGAGGGGAGACCTGCCTTCTGGCACCAGTCCCGGTTGCTCTGTCACCAGCCTTTGTGTAAAACTTTTTAGCCACTCAGTACCTGGATGGGAGATCTCCAACAGATAAAGGACCAGAGGTTCAGAAAGTCTCCTCTCCAGCCAGGGATAGGTCAGTACACATCTCAGCATGGCATAAGTGGTATTGCATTGTCCATTATGAACAACAGTCTTGAGTATGGCTGCACCCAAGTTCAGTAGCACCCACTGGAGTACTGCAGGGGATGGCTTCAACTTTGCATCAGAACAACTCATTTAGACATCATTCTCCTTCAATGGCTCAAGGCTTTCAGAAGGTGTGAACTCCCCAGTCCAGTTCAAAAATGGC